GGCGGGAGCCCATTAGGGCCGGGAAGGGGGTGGGAGCGCGTTGGGTGGGAGCCAGAGGTGATGAGGGGCTCGGAGGCCGTTGGGAGGAGGCAGCAGTGGGGAGCGGGGGAGGACCGGGTGCCCACGGTGGGGGCTGTTGCTGGTGTGGGAGTGGGAGGGATGCCCGGGATGCCSGRGYGGGAGCTGGGCTGCTGCCCAGGCCRCTGCAGGGCCTGGCAGGGGCCGGGCACGTGGGTGCTGCCGCTTCCCTTACGCTGTGTTTGCCTCGGCTGCGTGTCCCGCTTTGGCCTCGCAGCCCTCTGGAGCGGCCCCATGGCAGCGGTCTATTCGGGCGTCCACCTGAAGCTGAAGAGCGCGAAGACCTCCTGGGAAGACAAACTCAAGCTAGCCCATTTCGCATGGATTTCTCACCAGTGCTTTCTTCCTAATAAAGAGCAAGTAAGTGCTTCTGAAGGAGAAACGCAGCCAAAAAGATAATTGYCACTGAGGAGGACCTGGCTTGCAAAAGCAAGACCTTTGCCTCTTAATGGTCTGCCTCTAGACGGGCAGTGCAAATATGGTGCTGGTGATGAGGGAGGGCAGGCTCCTCATTTCAGCGTGGCTGTATGAAATGTTTTCATAGCATTGTTTCAGAGTTGCTTCAGGTGTGATATCCCCRTTAGGATGGGAAGAAATGCTCTTTGTTATAGACAGAGTGCTGTGGCTGCCATCTCTTGGATAAACGGGAAATCTCCATCTCCAGAGCCCTCATTAGCATCTTGGAGATGCTGCCTTAGCATCTCTGCAGGACTTTAAAGCCATTGTCAGCTGCTTCCTGATGCTTCTTGTCCTAGTTAAGAATAAAAAAAACACTTGGAGTGAAAGAACTGACTACAACTAGATATGTGTTTCCTGGTGCTCTGAACTTCCTTCAGAAGTGTGGCTTAGGGTTTGCACTTTTCAAAATCACTGTTTTGAGTTCCTGTTGACTTCCTCTTGAGTACCTGTGTTATAAAAACTAGTCATATGTCATAATTTTGTTTTGAAATTAATAATTTAAATCAATGGTATAGGTATAAATTYGACCTGACAAGAATAGGATATGAAAGGTAAAGTCAAATCATCTAGTTTTACTCTCTTTGCTAAGTAGCATCAAACTTTGCACTTCTACCTGCTGGTGAAAGGACAGCAGGGTGCAGACTGCTGAAAGCTGTTTTGTGCAGTTATAGGGGAGCAGAGTCAAAACTGGACTTAGGATAAAGGGACTTAAAAAATCAGGTCTTGGCTGCAGCCTGCAAGAATGGACCCATCTGCWTGTTCAGAGCCATTCTGCTTGAATGGAGCAGTTCTTTGATCATAGCACATAGCACGGTCTGTGCTGTAGCTGAAGAGACTCCTATTCTTGTTGCCTTTTTCTATGGGGATTATAAAAGATGACTCCTCTTTTGTTAACAGGTATTGCTTGACTGGGTAAGCCATACATTGGTTTCATACCACAACAAGAAACTTGAGCTGGAGGATGAAGTCGTTGAGAAACTCTGGGCATATCTRGACAATGTTATCCACAGTAGAAGACTACAGGATCTTTTAAAGAATGGAAAGACAATCAATCTCAGTTTTGCTATTGCACAGGTAACTAAAATTACAGTCATTTTGTAAGATGGTGGATAACAGTGCAGTATCCGCTACCGTATGTGACCCTTCCTCACAATCTAGGGTGTTATATAAAGCACATAATTAACATCTTGCTTTTAGGATGCTTATGTATAAACTTCTGTCTTTCTGTTCTGCAATGTGGTTTATATTTGCGTARAACTAGGGCAAAGAATGGCAGAGCTTTCCAGCAATAGCCTCAGACTTCATCTATCTCTCTCCAATTTCTGCAAACAGTCAGAGAGGGACCTGGTYTAAGTATTTCTGTAGATAAGTAAAGGCTGAGTTCCAGTTGTTGCTCTCTTGTTTAACTTACTGTGTACCTTGGGCCTAGAAGGCTTGGTGAGAGAGAGTTTTTTCCCTTGCTGTGGAGCTCATCAGCATGTTTGGCTTGAGTACATGTGTGCCGTGAGGTGCTGTTCAGCTGACCCTGCCTAGRAACTTGTAGCTGCTTGTGATGGTTCTGAAGGAGCTATTGCTCCGATTCTCCCTTTCCCAGGGAGCTAAGTCCCCTTCTCCCCAGCAGTCACACTTGCTGTACTGCTGTAGCTCTGTGTAGGCTTCTGTGGGCTGTGTATTTGCAGGTGCATGGGAGAAAATCCAAGGAGACTGTAACTGTTACTCCCTTAGTATGCATCTGGCAYGTGGCACGTTTCTGGCATGGCTCCCCTCATTTGTGGAACCCCACATGCTAGACTYGGGAACCTGGAGGAAGTTACTGTGCTGTGCTGGAGGCATGGCCCGTGTCCCCAGGTGAACTGGGAAGCAGGAAATGTTTTTCTCAGCTGAAATCCTGTTGGTCCCACATCTTTCCCTTTATAAGCATTATGTTCCTCTGTGAATTGAGTTWAACCAATTTAGTGGTGATGGCAAGTAGTGATTGACCTGATCAGAGATTTGATGGAGCTGTTAATTGCAGTTCAACTTGGCTCAGAATTGAACCACAACATGCAACTCCTTATTAAGGGTCCTGGTTACAGAAATGGTGGTGTTAATGGATGGTGGTGAAGGTAGCCAAAATGGCTGGGAAAATAGTCTTTTAGTAGTGCTCAGGATGGATAGAAATAAGGCAGGACTGTTTCCACTTGCAGGAATGAGCTGTGAAGCACAGAGAGCTGTTCGGCTGAAAAGGACTGTGCTTCACAGATGATACAGGCATAASCTGCTCAGTGTAACTATGGCCTGGGCATGAAAACTTGTCTGATTGTAGATAGGATAAGAGTTACAGGCCAGAGTACTCCAGTGACCAAAGAGGAAGGTGGTAGGAGGGAAGAGTGTTGTGCTTAGAAAGGCYTTAGAAATCTGAATGCAGGGGACCTTAGTGAGCTGAGGAGATAGACTGTTCACTCGGAGGTGCCAAGGAGCTGAGGTTTTAGTTGTGGAACAGAGGCAGATTTGCAAATTGTCTGCTGMGATTATCTGGAGATGAGAAAGGGGAATGAATAATAAAAAATGTGATCCAAAGAGAAAACCTCGTGGAAATGTCCACAAAAAATTTAAGGAGGGAAAATTGATGTCAAGTGTAAACTCTGTAGAAGAGTGCTTCTGTTAGAAGAGGAGAAAGGACAGTTCAGCAGCCTCTGCGTATCAGCACAGGAGTCCCAGGCTGCTCTTAGAACATAAAAATGACATTTAGTCGTGGGTGTGTATGCTGGATAAACATCCTTGARCAAGAGTGTAAAGTGGGGTGGTGGTTTTTTGGTTTTAGTTGCGGGGGAGAATAAGGGGGAATAATTTCAGGAACAATTCAGGAATTCGGGAGCAATTCAARGAAGCCAATTCAGGAACAATTTCAAGGAGGGAGGGAATATTCCCCCTTCTCCCCATCTGCAAGACTAGCCGTTCAGTTCAAATGCACACAGTTTCTGCTGTTGTCAGTAGCAGTTGCACTGAATGAGAGAATCCTCATGCATCCTGTGGTGCAAGCAAAGGAGGGACACTCTGCTTGCCAGGGGGGCTTCTAGTCTGAGACCTGTGACACAGTCCACCCCCCTTACAGCCAGAGCTTACAGAAAATGATGCTGGCTCCTTATGATTAGCTTGATCTTTGTGTGAAAAATTGACTGTGGGGTTTGTTTGTTTCTTCCAACCTTTAGGTCATAAATGAAAGGTTGTCGCAGTCCTGCTCCCGAAAGGCACGGCAGAGCATTGGCACGGTGCTGAGCTGCTCCAGCGGCATCCTTTCCACTCCTTCGCTCGCCGTCATCTACACAGCTAAGTGTGAGCTTTTGGTCGATCTCCTCAGCAAGCTGTCTGAGCTGGCTTGTCAGCAGCTGGCTTCTGATGATGCTGTGAGCTCCCAGCTGTTCAGCACTCTGCAGCTTACCTTTGCTCAGTACCTCCTGATCCAGAGGCAGCAGACCAACCCAAATCGTGTCTTTGGGCAGGTGGCAAGCCACTTGCTCCAGCCATGCCTGCTCCTGAGGCACTTGCTGACGGTGAGGAACTGGACACAGGCAGATGACAGCCACGTGCGTCAGCACTGGAGCAGGGAAATCCGAAATCAAGTAGAGGTTCTGCTGCAAGCTGGACTGTTCCAGCCTGAGCTCTTCTCTTCCTACAGAGAAGAGCTGCTGCCAGAGCAGGAACAGCAGGAGAAGAAAAAAGGAGCTCTGAAGAGTCTTTTGCTACCGGTTGACACAATTCGGACCAAGCTGGGCAGTGACTTTTGTGAACCTGCTCTCCATGGGGCTGTTGTGGCAGGTTCAGTGTCCCTGCTCTACAAGCTCTTTCTGGACTCTTACAGCAAGGGAGAAAACGCCCTGCTGTGCTTCCACATGTTCAGCAGGCTCTTCGACTGCCTCAGGCTCTCTGGCCTGCAGCAGGGTGCGAGGGGKGATGAGCTGTCCCCCACAGGCTGGAGCACAGAGCTGCTTGCCTTGGAGCAGCTCTTGAGCTCGGTGCTGAGCTGCGATATCTACAACGTGGCCAGCGACCGCATCCGGCACAAGGGGGTGCAGTTTGGCTTCTACCGGCGGCTGGCGCAGCTGCTCGTGCGGCACGCCCAGGCAGCCATCCCTGCTTGGTTCCGGTGCCTCAAACTCCTCATAGCCTTAAACCACCTCATCGTGGAGCCAAACCTGCGGGACTTAGTGGCCTCTGCCTGGATCGATGCAAAGGCCTGTGAGCCACGCACAAAGAGGCCCCAGGAGGCTCTTATCGGCGYCGTGTTTCAGACCTACTGCAAGCTGCGGCAGTTCCCGCGGCTCTTCGAGGAGGTGCTGGCTGTCGTTTGCCAGCCAGCTGCTGACGAGCTGAGAGCACCCGTGCTGTCTGCTGGCCTGACGGCCAAGCTTCGCGAGTGCCTCCTGGAGCTCCCACCCAACCAGATTCTGGACATTTTGTGTCTCGTAGTGGAGAAGTGCCAGACTCTGATCATTCCCGCTCTTGAGAGCGATTCGAACATGGTCTGGAAGCTGATGTCCCTCAGCTCGGTGCTGCACGCTTTTCTGTTCAACATGAGGAGCCTGGATGATGTGACCCCAGCCCCTGTGGTCCTTCGCACCCAGARTCTGCTGGCAGGGATACAGAATGAAATAATCCAGCCCCTGCTGGAACTGCTGCAGGCTCCTAGAGAAGAGGACTCGGAGCTTTGGTTAAGGAAGGCCAGTGACTCTGCCYTACTTCTTGTTTACACTTGGGTTGAAATAAACACTTTATTTGGTATTAGTTGCAGCAAGTATGTGTCTCCATCAGCTGAAATTGCTGCTACTGCAACTGCTGGAGTGCACATGGGCATTTCTGCTCTCCTCCCTGGTGTTGAGGAACAGTGTTGGGAAAAAGTCACGGCACTTGCAAGTAGTTTTGCCTCCACTGGTAAATATTGCCTGGAACTGCTCACACTCCAGAAAATGAAGATGATTTTAATGCAGACAAAGGGTGATCCCCAGGCCTTGCAGCATGCTGCAGCTTTCATCGTGGAGTCTGGAAGATCCAGCATGAATAAGGGAGAAACTGGACCTTGGGATGGAGATGTAAGTGCAGTAAATGATCTCACCTACCCCACAGCACACTGGCATCTTGTCGTTTCCAACCTGACTATTCTKTTGCCGTATCTTTCCTTGAAAGATGTGGAGTACATTGCCAGCGTGCTTCTGGAGACATCGGTATTGGCCAAAGCCCAGGAAGCTGATGGAGACCAGGAGGCTGCCATCAGCATTGGAAAGGTGTCTCTTAGTTTGCTGCATAGTCCCTTTCTCCCAGAAATGAAGGTGCTGCACTGTGCTTTTCTGAGCAGCCTTATTCATCAATTCAGTAAGGTGCTGCACCCTGCCAGAGGTTCTGTAGATCTGCCGCTGCAACAGCTGTCTGCAGATAACATCCCTTGGCACGAAGAGATCCTGTCTCCTTGGAAAAGTGCTGACCTGSTGGAGACACAATCAGAAAACAAGCCACCAAAGGATGACTTCAACACGGCTTGGAAAACGCTGGAGAAAGCTGCCCAATGTGTATTACTGCTAGYGAAAAATGGTTCTCCTCTCATCCTGAAAGAAAATCAGCTAGAAAGCTGCTTGAGCTTGCTAGAAATCGCTTCTCTTCTGAAACTGGACAATCTTTTTCCCTCAGACTGTATCCGGTGTCATCTCTTGCTGCTGTCCTTGGTAGCCAACACCAGGGCTAATGCYTCTTGCAGCAAGGTGCTATCACTGAAATTTTTCCGGACCTGCTTCCACCTTCTGAGGTGCCTGCAAGCTGGCCGCAATGCCAACTCTGTTTTTAAGGTTTTTCATGCCAGTGATGCTCTTGAGGCTCTAATGACCTCCCAGTTCACGATCAGCAAGTTCTTTGTTAATACTCTGACTGATCCTGCCTGGGCAGAGTATCTCCAGGAAGCACAAACCTTTCTGGAGCACTTTCTTCAGATAATTGTTGAACGACGCCAGAGTGTGAGAATCAATTTGGAGAAGTTCCTGTCTTTCCTGGTGAGCTGCAAGCCAGATGCTGGGGAAGCCAGAAGTAAATGCTGTAAAAACTGGAATCCTGCAGCTGGGCAGCTGCTGCTCATGGCGTTTACCACCCTGTGCCATGTCATCACCCTTTACCTTCAGCAGCAGCCAGAAAAGAAGCTGCAGTCTGGGGATGTGCTGCCGGCTCTGCTGGAGCCAGCAATCCTGGAGCTGGGACGAGCTGTGGAGCAAGGTCTGCAGAGCAACGTGCAAAGCCAGCCCTTGCCCATAGCGTTCATACCGTCTGTCACTACTCTCCTCAAGGCGGATCTGAGCCATGCCCTCTGTAAAGGGGGCTGGCAGAAGAACCCTAAAGACCTCGGGGAATTTTTGGAGCGCCCCCATATTAAGCTCTATCAAAAGTTTTWCTCTCAGATACTGAGAGAGCTGCCCTCTGCAGGAGGTCACCTCCAGTTCCTTCAGTCCGCCTTGCGGTTCTTAACCGTCTTCTGCTCAATACCTGATCTGTCTCCTGGAAAAGAAAATGCAGTGACTGTGGTTTATGCTGTAAAAAAGCTTCTTGCTGGTATGAAGGCTCCTGTTTTCTATTTCCTTTGCTAATTTTGCAGCACAGAGGTGACTTAGAAATCCTACATAGTTTTTTTTTTTCTTTTTTAGAAGCTGTTTGTTTTATATTTCTGACCGCTTTTGTTAAACACTGCCTGCATTCTTTTTTTTTTTTTTTTTAAATACCTAACTAAGTTTTCCCAAAAGTTTTGTTGTGGTGGCTGTGGTGACTGGACCACAGCAGCCAGCTGATTTGATATGGGTGTCTCATTAGGGTAGGTTCTGCTTCCTTTGGTTATTTTTTTGTGCCTGAAAGAGAAAGATAATTTTCTCAGCTTATCTTAGAACTCTCTTACCAGTAGCATCTTAGGAGCTGAAGAACCTGTTTTTCCTCTATCTCAGATCTTTCTTCTTATCTATTTAAAGGTTTTTTACAGGTACCTGTGCAGATGGTCATTCCAGTTTTGGACATCAAAGTGTGGAAGTTGTCCTTGGTTCTTTGAGACTRTAATATAGCTCTTAGTAAACAGAGCCGATTTCCTTATTACCTCATGGCTGTAAGGCATTCTAGTGATAACCAGACTGAGGGGATACTTCCAGAGGCACAACTTGGAGGAGCTGTTCTCCCYCTTCTGGTGGCAGGTAGAGTAGGGTGCACTGAAGCTGCTGATGTGCTCAARTACCCTGATATACCTCACCTGAGAGGCTCAGAGGACCTGAAAAGGCAGAGATGAATAATTTTTTTGTAAAGAAAGGAGTTGATCTATCTGTCAGGAATGCTAAATCCTCCGAATTGTGACCAAGTCTGGGGGAATCTGGCAAATAATGCCTGGGAATGCAGGCAGARAAGGAGCCAGGGCTGGAAATGACATGAACCCTTTGCTTCTTGCTAGCCTTGTGGCAGAACAGCTCCCTTGTATTGTCTTGTTTGGAGAGTGAGATGAGCTAATCGGTGCTGGTGACGTGTGCCACATGAACATGACTGCTCCCTTTGCCTTTTCTGAACAAAGGGACCCTGTCTTGCTTTTGCTGTGCTCTAGCATATGTCATTCTTTCAGATTTTATGTTGGCATTAAGTAGTTAAGTCTAGAGCWCAACTCTGCATGCAAAATCTGACCCTGTGCTTGCACAGTTGAGTTTCAGCTAGAGCTRTTACATGTAGAAGATACGGGATTGGTGTCTGATTCTCTTCTTTGGCCTATGTTTTTTTGATTCTCCTGAGTTTTGGGGTTCACAAAGGGCCACAAACAAGTATCAATTGCTGTATTTGTTTCTACTAATTTCTCACTATTGCTGTGTGCTTTTCTCTCCTAATATAAGGCTGGTAAAGTGCTTTTGCCCAAAGACCTAATTAAGCACTCTAAAAAGCTATGAGAATTTCTGAGTATGTAAGGTATTAAATAAGTTAAAATATGCCCTCTTATTGAAGAAGATTTTCCGCATTGCCACACGTCCTGTAGCCACTTTTGGAAGTAAAGAAATAAGTGCAATAAATTGAAAGGAAGTCTAGACATGTAGTAATTAACTGAACTGTGTGAGTGGGGAGTATGGCTTATGATAATCAAACCCTAGTCRTTTTAGGCTTAGTGTCTTTATGACTTGTGATGGCTTTCCAGCCAACATTCACACTGCAGCCCTGTCCCTTGCCCAGTCCCTTCCCCTTGCCTGTGTGCAAACTTGATCCCAGTGTTTCCACAGTGAAAGCTTTTTGTGGTTAGGGTGCCTGCTCTGTGAGCTGTAGAGTGTGAAACATCTGAGAACAGCAGATCCTCTTCCTGGCAGCAGGGAGGGTGAAGGGGTAGCATGGGGCAATCTACGTGTGTAGTGCTTGAAAGGGAACCCACAGAGCTGTACTGAGATGTGGTTAGTTTTCTTCTCACCCCTTCCTGCCTCTGCTTTGGGAAGTGACTCAGACATGTTTGTGTCCCTTAAATACGCAGGTCCTGAAATCACAGGCCAGGTGATTCAAAATCTAGAGATGGAACTGACAGAGCTGCTTGTCCAGCTGCTGGGAAGCTGCTCTGCTGAAGAGTTTTATGCCATAATGAGGCTCTTTCTGCAGGGACTTGAAGTGAAGAACGTTTGGCAACAGAATGCTAAAGTAAGGAATGAGTTTTGTTTTTATTGTGCTTTTCTTCAATTTTCTCTATCTTAAAAACCATGTTAGCAGCCTGACATGATAAATATTTCTTCCTCTTTCCACTTTATGTTCAGCTCTTTGATAGAACTAACTTGCATGGCTCAGGGCTCGATGCCTGGGCTGAGGTGTGCTCTCAATGTGGATCGAGCTGGGTAGAACCTCTGTGAAGGCTATCACAACTTTTGGTTATGGAAAGATTTTCTGTTCTGCTCAAGGACTTAGCAATTCTGATTTCAGGTACCATCAACAAAAATCATTTGGGATATGATTTTGTAGGCCGTGCTGAAAGCTTTTTTTCTACCTGCTGATCAGAATTCTTGCACAACAGACACCATCGGTCTTAACCACTGTTTATCTCTGACTCTTCAGAACAGGGTTAAAAGGCATGTTACTTATAAAATGCTAGTAGTTCTCTGAAACCTAAACTGCACCTGTATTTTCAATATCTGTCTTCATAAAGACTCTACTCAGTAATATCCAAACACCATTCAGTAGTTTTTTAAATACGGAGCCTTTCTGCAGAGAAGCTTAAACAGCAGGAGCAGCATATGGAATGCCTTAAAGCTAAAAGACCAGATGTAAGCTCTATATTAAAATGTCAGTGTTTATCTAGTTGTCAGTTTTATTTGTCAGCAGTGGGCATGAGTGTGCCGTGTCAGTACCTAATATGTCTTTTTTTTTGGAAAACGTATCTGGAATTCCTGTAATATTCCTATATTCCAACCATCCAGCTGCGTAGGCATTGAAATATAGGCATGCACTGTGAGCTTGAAATGTGATGATATAAGACCAATTGGCTTTGTCTTGTAATATATTTATTTAACCAATCTGCCATCATAGCTAGCAAGAAAATCCCTCTGCTGTGGCCAGTGTAGCATTTGTTACATGCTCTCTGCTTCCCTCTGTTGCATGGAAGGGGTTGAAGGAGGAAGTTTTCCTTTCCTATGTATTTTTATGCCATAAAGTGATTTTAAAGCCGAATCACTTTGCACAGGTGCACAGGGTATTTGGGCAGGGCAGTTCAGCACATTTAACTTCATTGGGCTGCTAATCATTTCACAGTTCACAAGGTGAGTTCTAAGAGCTTTCATGTGTCAAGGCTTCACTAATGCCCAAAACTACCACTGCCCTTGAAAGTTCTGCTGTGCTAGAAATGAGCTGGTGCCTCTGTATCCATGACTGCTGATGTGTTTTCTGCAGGAAGTGGTGTCAGCTGTTACTCTAATCAAATTGTTGCTCAGCTGCCCATTAAGTGGAGACAAGGAAAAAGCTTTCTGGTTTGCCAGCCCACAGATAATCACAGCCTTAGCTGTAAGTATCTCTTTATTGTTACTTAATTACCTGTTCCCTTTCATTTGTTGGAGTTTGTAGTGATTGCATCTGTAACGTACTTCTTTACAGTATTCTCTGTGTAACTGGGGGATGCTAGCCGGATTTTCAGATTCATTTGCACCGTTTGGTCTAGGCCCCTTTTATCCTCCTTCCTCAAGTAAATGTTCCGTGGGCAGTGTGTAGGTCACACACTTCCCATTAGCAGTAGGACTAGGCTGTGTAATCTGGAGCTTGAGAAAGACTTGTACTACAGAGAGAAGTCTTAGTCTCCTATCCTTCCTCGTATCCAAAAGAGAAGGAAGCTGTCAGCTGAGCTTCTGCTGTGACATGTGGCTAATGGCAACAAATGCAGAGGGATGTGCTCATAAAGAAAAAAAAAAAATTAAAAACCTGCTCTTTTCAGTGGGTCTGCATGATGCTTGTAGAGAACATCTGGATCACTGCATTCATGTGAGGAGATGCAGAGAGGTTCTGGTTATCGTAGCCTTTCTGCATCTTTTCTAGGGGGCTGGGATAAAGCTACAAGTCCGCACTTAAAGCTCTGTGTGTGTGTGTGTGTGTGTGTGTGTGTGTGTGTGTGTGTGTTACATGCTGTGCCTGGCATACAGCTCCAGCAGGACAGCTAAAGTGGAGGAGTCTCCCTGCCACCCCTGCTTGCCCTGATGTTGTTTCAGGGGCTCAAGTCAGAGTGTTGTATTAGCCTGTCCTGATGCACACCTCCTCTCTGCTTCCTGTCTCCATGTAGATGCAAACCAAAGAAGCCTGCCAGGACCAAGCCCTGATTTCCACCATAGTTGTGCCTATCCTGGAGACCACCGCAGCTCTGCTAAGGCAGGGAGAAGGGGTTCTCTCCAACCCTCACCATGTGGCCTTGGCATTCAGCATTCTCCTGACGGTCCCACTAGACCATCTGAAGATGGAGGACTATGGCAGTATCTTCCTGGGAGTCCATGAAGTGCTCTTCTCTATTCTGCAGTGTCATCCAAAGGTACCTTTGAGAGGGTAGAAGGAGGAGAAGAAGGTAGAAAAACCTGAGACAGAGGCCAATGGTTAGAAATAGGTTTTTAATAGTAGTTTTGAATTGATTTGTCCTGGTAATACCAAAATACTCATAGCACTTGTCACTTAAAAGGTTGGGAATCTCAAAACTGAGTGATTTCAGATGTGAATTCCAGATGCTCTCCTACTTTGTTTTTATACCTGCGTTGTTAATCTTTGGCAGCAGATTTCTTATGGATCTATGAGGCTAGTTTAAGGTAAAACTTTCCAGATTATTCACAACCCACTTATGAAAACATAAATGGCTTAGGCACCAGAAATCTAGTCTGGAGATCAAGATTTTGCAGACCTTTGCAAATAGGGTTGGGGCATGTTAAAATTGACTACTGACATCAGGAACATAAAGGCAGGAGAGGAGGAGAAAGGAAGGCAAGGGCATTAGCATCAGGACTAAGAGAGAAAAATATAAAAATTGGGGAAATATTCCCTATATTTCTTTATTTTCTTTATTTTCCTTATTCCAAATCTAAAAGTAAGACTAAAGTGCCCTGACAGAAATACTGGAATAGAAAGCTTGCTATCCRGATTGGTTTTATACAGTGATCTCTAGTGTTACGGACCTTTAGTCCGTTGCCTGTTTGGCTACTCGGGTTCTCGACCAGCTAGAGCAAATTTCTCAATCATGAAGGGCTTAACAGATACAGAGTAACTCTAGGGTGATTTGTTATTTATATGCGAGTACAGCTGGGACACCTGAATGAGGATTCTCGTGTGCTACGTTTGTACATATGCAGGATGGAAAAATGTTCTCTGCTCTTGACAGCTTTTCTAAGCTGTACAGCTTTCTCCCCAGGCCTTGAATGCACTCTGGTGTATCTCCTCCATCTCTCCATTTACCCYGTTATCTCAGGTCTCCTTTTCATGTCATGTTGTTGCAGGTTATGTTAAAAGCAGCACCATCTTTCCTGAACAGCTTCCATCGTCTGGTGGTTTCTGTTATGCACGAAGGGCGTCAGAAAGGAGACAGAGGTACTGTAGCTTTTCCRTTCGCATGCTGTATTCTAACCTCGTGTGTTTTAGAAGATGAAGTTCAAAGTGTGGCAGCCTGTCACACCAAAGGCAAAATTGTCAGAAACCTAGTTATGGCACTGGAAAAAAATATCCCTCTCTGTCCTTTACATAAAAGTGAGGAGAAGCTCTGCAGTAGCTTGGACTTGCAAAGACAACTGATGCTTTTGTGGAACTGTCTCCACACAGCMCTGCTTTGGGTATGCGTAAAGTGTTCTTTGCTGGCTGGCCAGTGAACAGGAACCTGGAAGGTTGGCTTGGCCCAGTTTCTACTCTTCCTGCCAAGCTTCCTACCTGAAATCTCTGTCATTTACAGCACGGTGGCCGTGAACACCAGTGATGTATGTTAACATGCCTGAGTGATGGAGCTCCTCAAGACTAGAAGGGATTGCTACAGGCCTCAGTTTTCACCAGTCTGTGCTATGAATGAAAACAGGACCTTGAATGTCTGAAGCATCAGTTGTGATTAGTTGGTATATCTGTATGATTAAGGAATTACAGTTGTTGGAGCAAGCATCTCCAAACAAAAGCATCTCCAACAAAAGAGATTCATCATTCACAGTGATTAAGGTCATTGTCTGGTACTTCATCTTTGTGCTGATCAGTAAAAAGTACCCCRTTAGAGCAATAACATTTTGAGACAAGAGAACTTCATGGCCTGCAATATCCTGGCTCTCCTCTGATGTCCCACAGCTTATTTCATATTTAGATTCAGACCCAATTCCGTGCCCGCGGCTGTGGACAAATGTAAACCTCCACATTGTGGAGGAATACACTAACACATTCCCAGTGGGAGCCAAGTATGTCCAGTTGACGCCAGGCTTGGAGAATTTGCCGACTTCTGTAGTAGTCACGTGTACGTAAAAGAAAGAAAGTTAGCTTAAAGACATTTATTTTTGCAGGACTGTTTTATTTTCATAACAGGTAACATGAAAGCTATTTCCAGAATTCCTTCCTTCCTTATTTCTATTCATTATTCTCCTTCACTGCATAGTGAATAAGAAAGTATGTTCTCAGGTGCTCTCTTCAGTCTTTTATTTTATTTATTCTCCAGTACTGTTGCTTCTGTTAAGGTATTCTATATAATAAATCTCATCAGGAAACTTAAGAAACTATTTCCAAGACTGTTTCTGATTTCCCATCAAGTAGGGCATCTCATTTCCTAGTCTGCTTGTTGTCTTCTCCAGAGTTCACCTGGGAGGACTGGATTATGGACAGGACCATAGCKGCTACTTCTAGCATTTCAGCATATAAAAGAAGTATTTTTTGCCTTGCTMTGAGTATAGAGTTGGGAATTGGTGTGCTCTTACAGCATCATCATTGCARAAGAGACCTGGAGGGGAGTAAGGGTATGTGGGGTCTTCCAGCTGTGTCTGGATAACAAGAGAAAAGATGAAATAGGCAAGCTGATACTGGCTTTATGTACTTCAGGAATCATAGAGGATTGCTCTGTGAACCTGGGAACATTTTCTAATATTTTTAATGCTCAAAAAACTACCATTTGTTTTCTCTTCTAGTCAACACAGACGAATATGAAATGGCGTTGAAATGTGCACACTTGGTGGAACGAATGTATACTCATATTGCTGCAGAAACAGAAGAATTTACTGTGTTTTCTGCCTTCATTGTGGCCCAATATGTGACTGAATTGCAGAAGGTAACATCCACTCTTCCATTCTGAAAGTGCTATGATAAGGGGCTCGCTTTGGCTTTGGTGTTGCTGTTTTAAAGGCAATTGTGTTGAGTTTGGTGAAATCTATTAAGTTGTAAAATTTGCAGGGCATCATGAGAATACACTTCTGATACAGACTGCCAGTTAGTTTGAGTGAGGCTTCCTGAGGATACTTCCTACCCAGGTGCTAAAAACTTTTGAAAGAAGAAAGAAAAAAAGGAGGGCGCAAAGCAATGCCATATTGATTTACAGGAACGCTTTGCTTTTCCATCTTGTTTTGACTGTTGTTTTTTCTTCATATGCTAGTTCAGGCTTTTGTTCCAGGTAGTCTCATCTGTTCGGGATTGATATTAGTTAGAGCCCCATCTGTCAAAGCAACGGAGAAAACAATCTCTTGGGAAAATATTTTTTCTCTGGTCTAAATGAACAAATGAGTGGGAAAAAATGCTTCCAAGCCAGAGAAGTGGTGGCTTTTCAGTAATTCTTCCACACCAAGCTATCGTTCTCATCCTTTCTGAAAGCAGTTGCTGCTGTTATTGCAGATACCAGAGCAAGGTCAGTAGCTCCAGAACTAAATTCAAGTTGTTCTTCTGTTATGAGTTAATGAATTTAGGTATCACCAACGTGAACACTGCTTGCGTTGCCAGCACCTGGAAGCTGTTTGTTTGTGCTCTGTCCTGGAGCTGGGCCAGCATGCAGAAAGGGAGCTTAGTCAGTATTTCTAAGCTCTCTCAGCAGAAAGATATCCTAACCTAAACCCACCCTATAACTAGCAATGAAGATTAAGAGCTTAAACTCAGTTGCCTCTTCTACTTGGCAACTTCTGGCTTGGCTGTTTTCAGCTGTTTGGGACTAAAATGATGGGCTAGACCAGTTCTTAGTTGTTACTCAGCTTTCTTGGTGAGCCACCTCTCCTTTATGAAGTGTGTAACTTTGCTAAGCAAGTGCTGGGGCCAAACTAATGCTAAGCCTATATGTCCTCTAGTTAACTAGTTCTGAACTTCTCTCAATCTGCTCAGCACTGAATATAGAGCCTTCCCTCAGAAAGGAGGGATTTTATTTGTCAAATGATGTTTTTGAGCTAAAGGGGCACTTATTAGGCTGGAGTACAAAGTCTTGTAAGACTTTGGGGAAAGTTTTATGTAAAACTTTCACTGATGCACAGTAAGTGACGGATGGTTGTTGAAATCACAGCCAAATATTGTATGTGTGAAACTTCAGGGTGTGGAAAGGGAAATCTGAAATGAGCCAGCAGGCCCTGTGGCAAAAGGGTATTTTCTCTCTTTGATGCAGTAGATGGGAGGTGGTGATTTATTTGCCCGTTAGACAAGAAAGAGTTGGTAGAACTGAGGGAATCCATCAGAGGGAAATAGAGGCTTCAACATGCCYGTCTTGCAGAGGAATCTACAGATCTCTTTCCCTGTAAATAGCATAAAAGGAAAAGAAACTGCCTTGAACCATTCTTCTCTCCAGAATCAGATCAGTAGCTTTTCAGCCTGTGACTGGAAGATCCGGAGGGTCTGTGGCAGGTGGCTGAGGAAAGCAGGTTGTGTCAGTAGCTTTGTGGTTTTGTGCACGCTAGCTGAAACCCTTTGTAAGGATCTCCAAACTAAGGGATCTCCAAGGATCTCCAAACTAAAACCCATGAAAGCTGCTGGAATAAAAATAGTCACTCCTAAGTGCAGCTCTGGAACAGCTCCCTCTTCTGAAAAATCCGTGCTTCTCCTTTATATTAGGAAATAAATATCCATGTGAATGGTTCTGTGATAACCTAGAAGGGTTCCTTGCTGGAATAGGTGGTATCTAAAGCCTCTTTCGTGYTGTTGATGGTGCTTTTCCCACGTTCTCTCTGAGCTCTTGCTTAATTCAGCAGAAGCAAAATACCTCTTCACACACTTAAYGTGTCCAATCAAGAGTGCTGCAATGCTTCACAAATTGGTTGCACTAACTATATAGATCATAAAACATTTATAAGCATAATTAACTGCTAGCCAGCAGTGGCAGCTCTTTAAATCTTTGGTTCTGCTGCCATAGTATTACTGGATGGTGTTTAGGGGAAGCTGCTCTGCAAAGCAAGAATGGCCCAAGGAAGGCACAAGTCCAGTTTAATTTGTAATGTGAGGGCTGCAGTTCCCTGAACTGCAGCTCTGAGGTGGCTGTGTTCAGCAGGAGGGACACCTCGCCCTGTCACGGCAGGAGCTGTGGGTTCCCCTATCCTCATTCTCCGAAATCATGTCTCTGGGCTGGCAAAAGAGAGGCAAGCACGATGCCTTCGCTAGGGGTGCTGCTGCAGCTGTGATCCTCGCTTCTGTTATTTGAGTGCATGGTAGGGAGAAATAACATCTTTTATTAGCCTTCTGCTAGATCAGCTGACAGAGGGGAAAATGGCAAGTTTGGAGCATGTAAACTCCTCAGGGTCACAAAGGCAAAGACAGGTTTATGTGCCTTAATATTTGTTGTATATTTTCCCCGGCTGTATCAGCAAATCTAATAAAATATATTGCTTGTTCTGTGTGCGGGGCAGGAGGAGCAGGAGCCTGACACAGTGATTAGGAGTTCACTTCATTAGCRGAAAGTTTATTAGTTGCCTCAGGAAGAAAGAAGTCTGAATTTTAACGGCAGCCTTTTATGTAATTTTCAGTAGGTCTGGAGTGTCGAGGTTTAGATCTGGAGGCAACAAGCTAATTTGGGGATTCAGCACAGATAAGACCTGTTTCTYTGGCAAAAATAACGCGGTTATGCCAGAGGCCAGCACTGCCTAAGGCAGTGGAGCATTTAGCGAGTGGTTTGTGAGCTCAGGACAAATTCCAGTTTGCCTGGAGCACCAAAGGGCTCCGGAGCGAGCCCGGCTGTTCCTGCTTGGAGCGGCTGTTGTGCCGGCTGAGCGAGGCTGAGCTGGGGGTAGCGGCAGGAGCAGGGCAGGGACCCGGCCGTTTTACTGGCAGTCCCACTTCTTCCTTCAGCTTCCTGCGTGGCTGCTGGCACTTGGTCTCCAGCGTGAAAGCAGAGCAAATAAATAGACATCGTCTGAGTTTTGGGGGAGTTGTTTTAATAAAGCTGGTAAAATACACTGGAACCCTCAGATACAAATTGCTAGATAAATATTACATATCAGGTTGTTAAATGATTGTAGTCAATCCATTTAAACTTCTAGTGTAAATGATAGGGTAGCCTAAAGGAAGGGCTCGTTTGGAGCTGGGACTTAAGTAGCATGAAGCTAATGCCTTGGTACTGCCCAGGCATGATGAGCTGTACAGAATCAACTGAAACGTGTTATCCAGGGCGAGGGGTTTTGTTCTTTTTTTTTTATTTATTTATTTTTTTTTTATTAGAGCTTTTCTGCTGAGGAGTTTTCACGTGACTGCAAGATGATCAGTCATTTAGCCCACAGCAGGGTGGATATAGTTGCACTCATATGCATGTTGTTGCAAGAGACATGCTTATTTTGCAGAACGCATTTGCTAAAAGTCAGGAGAATATTGCATGGCCAGAGATTTTGGATTGCATCTAGTGGGCAATTGCAGATGGTCTGATACATTGGACTATATTTGTCAGCACTTCAGGTGCGGGGGCAGTTTTCTCCTGCCCTTGTGTCTTCGAGCCTAATGCAGTTTTTTCCCTCTCGCAGGTGACTTTGCACCCAGCTGTGAAGAAGCATCTCACCGAGGGGATCTATCGCATCCTTGACCTTTGCATTGAGCGAGACGTCAAGTTCTTAAATGCGTCGCTGCCGGCAGGTGTAAGGGAAGTCTTTAAAGATCTGTACAGTGATTACAACCATTATCACAAAGCTAAAAGACAAGGGGAGGAAAAATATACTGCCTGATGAATTGTGTCCGGTGCTGCGTGATCAGGCACGATGTGATCTTGTGCAGCGCTCAGAAAATCCTCAGTGGCCAATTGATTTGAACTGCCTAGAAGGATCCAAAGGGTTTCACTTAAACGTGGATTGCATCTGTGTCTCTACAGTCAGCCTTTATCCCGGGGGGAGAGGGGATGTTGGCAGGAGCAGGTACCTCCTGGGTGTTTTTCCCCTGTCTGTGGCGTGTGGCAGAGTTGCTGTGGCCGTGCAGGCCTGGGCCCTGGGGAGCTTGCGCTGCCCTGCTGCGCTGCCCTGCTGCAGGCTCTGCAGGCTGTGCAACTGTGCAGCCCAGCAGGGCTGTTGTGTGAGCAACACTCTGGGGCAGGAAAGCTGCACGGGTTMATTCCTGCTCTTGCTTACATGGTAAGCACAATTAAATGCGGTTAAAGCACATCTGGTTTTGTGCCATATTATTTTACATTGGTACTGAGGAAATGTGTGGATGTTGTACATCTGTACAGGCGGCTACTCTTACAATACTGTGGAAAAACAGTAAAAAAAATGGAAAACTTGTATCTGTCTGGTCAGTTTTGCTGTTGAGCACAGCCCCGAGCGACTTGGACTGACTTCTAGAGGTCCCTTCCCAGCTGAATCCCACGTTAATTAGCACATGTTAATCAAAAATGCCAACACTTCGAGTGGTCAAACTGCCACTGTCACCCTGCGGTTACATTGAGTCACCTGGGTTGCAGTAGCTCTTGGTGTATGTCCAGCTTGTGGCAAATCTGGGCTTACCACCAGGCTTGACGTGAACGACAACAGTGGCGGGGAGTGGAGAAGGTGGCGTGGAGCCCATTGGGACGGGCAGTTACTCCTGTGCTGAGGAAACAGGAGAGAGGGAAGGACCTGGTGCACTCCAGCAGGGAAGTGTGAAGGATGAAAAACATCAAACCATGCCAAAGTTAAAGGTTTATTTTCAAATATGCTATCGAGCTGCTGCTTGTCCTGTAGTCATCCTCCTTCCCTGGATTAACCCAACAGAACTTCGAACACAACTCGGCATTTTTGCGTACAAGTTCCAAAGAGGTTAAGGCAGTGACTGTGTTTCACTCCCTAATCCTAGGTCTTTGTCCAAGTGGGTTTTCTGCTAGAATAAATTAAGCCACTGGGCTAGGGAGCCTCCTGAGGGAGCCGGGTGCAGCTTTCCCCTTCGGTCGCATGATGGAGCCCTCCTGCAGAGCCGCCTCCGCTCGCCCGCTCCAGGGCTGCCTTTTCCGAGGCCGCGTTAGCTAAGGAGCTCTGAGCACTGGGAGGGCAATGGGTTTGGAAGCACTAATGTCCCAGATCTAAAGGACAGGATTGGCGCCTTATTTCAGTCTAGGAGGACCTGCCACACAAACTGTTCCCTCCACCTGCCCCCCCAAAAACAAACAGTTCAAATAAACAGGATGGAAGAGAAGAACAGAGTCACACCGGGCAAAGGCTGGTGGCTTCAGTTTGCTGGTTTCAGCTGCTTTCTGCTGCTGTAGAAATCAGTAGATTTTTCTGTCTGCCTGAAGGTGGGACTTGATGTCTGGTTCATACTGCTATAATGCTCAAAATGATCAAGAATGATGTAAGGCGGGTAGAGCTTATTTTGCTGCTTTAGAAGTGATTTTTCCCCACATAGTCTTAGCTATTGTAAGGACTTGTAAGGACACTTGCCTGAGGTGCAATAATTACTTTTGCATTTGAAGTAGATATTAGCCATTCAAAGGGCGAATTGCATTTGTGTCCTAAACAGTGTTTACAGGAATAGGGAAATGATTCTGGGGCTCTTGGTGTGGGGTCTGCTCTATTTTTCAAAAAGAAACAAAGAAAGGTTCAATATTAACATTTTTGTCAGTGCCAGTGTTGGCATTTACCATGAGGAGTTCAGTGATACCTTATGCAAATAATTAACATTTCCAAAAAGCAAGACACTTGTTAACTGCATTCGCAGCAGAAGACTTGTCAGATGCAAGCAAGTGGAAGCGCAACCTGATTTGCTATAGAGTTGTAATGGTTTGTATTCATGCATTATTAAAGGATGAAAAAAGTTTTCACGGTAACTTTAAAGCCTGGAAAATTCATGAGAGAAAATGTGTTCCTGGGAACTCGGAAAGATATCAGTCCAGGAGAGCCCCCAGCAAACCCATCAGGGCTTCTTCACAGAGATTTGTCATTTATCTGTTCTCCCTAAAATATCAAGTGCCTATGTTGTATTGCAATGCCTCTCTTCCTGAAGGAGGACATGTTATTATTATTAATAATAACAATAATTTATCTATTTATTTCTAAATATTCTAAGTAAAGAAAATGACAGAAATGCATTTTGGATGCATTTGGATGCCCATTCCAGCATGAGGGAAGAGTGCAAGTGTGTGTCTGCAATAGCTTTTCTGCAGTAGCTGCTTGGTCCTTAGTTCCAGAGCTCTTTATGTATCAGAATAAGCCTCTTCCAACACAATTCTTGTCTTTTCCTTTTGAAGTTGGTGGGGATCAGCTTCTAGCACCCCAAAGCAAGTGGCGCTGCTTTGATTGCCTCTTACAGAGGTTATATTCAGAATTGTTTCGTTGTGGAAGTGGGACGGGGAGRCCCACAGGTCTTTCACTCCCAGTTAGATGTTTTCCCATGGAAGGTGCTGCCATGTATTCGAGGTCCTCTTCTTCCTGCAGGGTGGTAATGGCTTTTCCACTCTTTCCTCAATGAAAAAAGGCAGGAGTCTTTCTGCTGATTGCTYGTGGAGAAGGGAGGATTGGGAGAGCAAGAGAAGGAAGAGGAGGAGGAGGAAATCATGAACTGTCCCCTGTTAATGCATTCATCAACTCAGGTTTCTTTCTCTTAGGTTCAGGCACTCCTTTTATTCYTATGCTCTTCACTTGAGGTGTTAGTTTCTCGGAGTTTCAGAGAGCTTTGCCAAGGCTTCTCGGGAACAGGATGGCAATACTCAGTTTATAAGGATGAGGACCAGCTGTGGGCTGCTGCTGCTCTAGGAAGAGAAAAGAAGACACACTTCTGGTAACTGGAAGCAGAGCAGCTCTGAACGCCAGGCTGCTTCTCCCAGCGTGTCACAAATATCCATCGTTGTATTGGATGTTACACGGACGCAGAAGCTCCATTCAGGAGTCTCCCTGTGTGTGGCAGCGTGGGCTGCAGCAGGGCAGTTGCTGCCCCAACTCACTAGGGTGTGAATGCCAGTGGGTGGGAAAATAAACACGGCGGGGAGAAGGCACTGGTCTATGTTTAGTTTTTCATACCAATTTTAGAGCAGCACGTGGGAGTTCTCTTCAGTAACTCCGGGGAATAGTGGTGTTAGGTTTTTCTCTCTTCCCTGGAGGAAAGAGATGGGAGAGTCAATGACCAGAGAACCAAACAATTAAATATTTATTTTAGTGACACAAGAAACAGACAAGTCTGTAAAGCCAAATGTGATCAGCTAGCAGTGCTGGAAAATTACGTGGCCTGTGCAAAGACAGCCTCAGCTTTGCTGGTCAGTGTATTAACCAGTGGAGGAGAGAGTGATTTATTACTGTGCTTCCGCTCAGTAATTGTCAGTCCTTAATCCCCTCGAGGGAAAGGAGCCATCTCCGCTTATCACCTGAGGAAAGAGCCTGGAACAGRCAGATGCTTTAGCCCGGGAGAAAGGGCTGCCAGTGGAACACGGCTCGGCTGTCCCACATAAAGTGACTGCTGGTGGTTCCAGGCAACAAGAGCCTGACTCAGCTGGTCCTGAGCACCCGCTGTCGGGAGCAGAGCTCGGAGCCGAGGTGTGGTTTTGTTCCTGGCTCTGCTGCGGGACACYTGGCTGTCGCGGGACGCCTGCCTGTGCTTTAGTTCTTGGTCCCTGGCACAGGGCAGTGCTGCTGCCGTGCAGTGGTACCTGGAGTGCACTGTTATTCACTGCATCCCAAGGGATGTCCATCCACCTGGATGGACAGCCTGCTTTCTGCCTGTCTTGCCCTCCTACTACACCCCCGTGAAACTTACTGTTGTCTCTGGGTGCAGTTCAGGTTCTTTCCTAAGATTCCTCTAGGCTGCTCGATGTCTTCAGGAGACAGCTATGCAAATGTGAGCTGCTAGGACTTGATTCCTTCAGACTGGCATTTTAATGTTTTTGTTGTTAATGTTTTTATAACCTAGGCTGATAATAGTGAGAGTCTGGAGTATGTGCCTCCTCGTACCGCATCCAAGGGAAGTGTGTGTTTAAGAAACCTGTTATTACCAGCTTGTATTTTGTTTGTGCAATGACATCTAAAAGACTTCCTAAGCTACTTATTTTCCTTTACTGTAAAGGCAGATCTCATACTGCAGCAAGGGACATATCTGTTCTTCTGATCTCAGCCTGCGCTGTATTGTCTGAGTGAGGAGAAGTCTGGGGGACGTGAGATGCTTTTGTTCCTGAGCCAGCTGGAAATCTCCCTTGACCCTTACACCCTTTCTCTGCAATAGCTGGAGATGATCATCTGTCAAAGTATTTCCTGCCTCACACCTGCCCTGAGCTGCCTTCACTCTAAGAGCATCTCCAGAGCCCACATCTCATCCATTAACACCGGGATTATTCTGGTAGCTCTTGTTTGAGTGGAAACTCTTAGGATGGATAGAGACAACTCAATAAATCAGGATGGGCGGTGAGAAGAGGTTGTGTTTAACTGCCAAGGTGTGAAGTACCAATTCCTCCGTTCTGGGTAAGCATGACACTATATTGCTGGGCCGTGTGTCTGTAGTGCATGGAAGAGTTGCACTAGAAAGTGCCTGCCTGCTCTTTTCTGTTCTCTTTCAGGAGAARAATCTGCAGCTGGATTGTCTCAACACAAGCTGTAGCTGGAAGATGGGTCACCGTCTGCATGTAGGTCCAGGGTGTTGCGGAGCTGTCGTACATGGAACTCTTTGCCTGACACACTGCAGGAGCAATAAGGTTTAGAATTAGCTTCTGCACACGCTTCCCTGGGGCTTCGGAGGGCAGAAACATGCCCTCACAGCCCGTGGCACTTCTCATCTTCAAAGTGCATTATAATCATTAATACATTAATTAGGCGTTCTCCCCTTTCTTCCTGCTAACAAGGTTTATTAAGCTGAATTTATTTATCTTTGGGCAGCTTCTACAGCAATTGAATGAATAAAATTCCTTCTAATTTTAATAGCAAAGACATAAAAGGGAATGGAGCTGATGGGAGGAACARGGGACAGAAGTAAATAAAACTGCACTGTGAAAGAAAAGGAGCAATTTCCTTCAAGGTGCATCTCAACCTTCCTCTGCCACTTTGTAGTCTTTGCAGCTTCTCTCTTCCATAATGTTTATGTTGCCCACATGCATGCTATAKGCTCGCCAGCATGCACAATGGCAAATTATGGGGTCATGAATGACTGAGATCTGCAGGAAAGGAGACAGTGAAAATAACCTGCAGTTGGAAGTTGAAAAAAACCTTTCTGAAAGGTTGACTTGGACCTATGTTGATCATGTTCTTGATGTATTTATGAGAGCCAAMTTAATCTAGCAGAATATTTCACGGGAGGTGAGTTGCAGGACCCAGGAGGTAGAGGACAGTCATGA